TCGTGGTTTCAAGGACTCTCCGTTCGTAACTGGGCTACATCCTGCGGGGATGCTCGATCATCGTGCTCGATCTCCGGCGCAACAGGTTGCGAGTCAGAAAAGTCCACGGGTTCACGCAGGTGCGCTCGCTTCGCGGACTGTGGACTGTTATGTAACGCGGCAAGGATCTCTAGCGATCGGCAACATTCTCGTTTTCCTCCGTGTCATTCCGACCCGTTTCGCCCGCCGTCTCTCTCGTCCCGTATTTCCGTTATCGCGCGAATGTGCTGTAAAAGGCCACGTTGGGCCACGCATGCAAACTCGGATTGCATTCCCGCCGAACGAGAACAGGCGAGGAATAAGACTAGGAAGTCAAATCCTGATAATCGATCCGTTATTTCAAACTCAAATTGCGCTGCGATTTTATCTCGCGGTCTATGGACTGCGAATATTCGCAATTTACGAGAAAGTATATATATGGAACTGTATCAAGTTTCTTCAATTCTTTTAAGTAAGAAAAATTAAGGGATTAAGATTAGTAAAATAAAACACTTGTTTAACAGAGAGTTCAACATTGAACATCACTCTTTAATCAAATTTTAAGAAAAATAATTACAAATAAAATAATAATTACACCTTTTTGTAGTTTTAATTAGACTTTTATCTCACGGAAATTTAAATTACAATTTTAGATAAAATCGAATAATTAAATTTCAACATTAAAAATAGTTTTAATGTTGATAATTAGTTAGGCACGCCAATGACTTTTAAACGAAAAGTTTGTCGGACATTATTCGTTTCACTAACGTGACTTATCGATACTTTATTTATCGATGAGCACAAGAGATTTAAAAATTAGTGACTCAGTTATTTTTAGTGTTTAGCAGAGTCTGTACAACAAGACGTACGTCATCCCAACAGAAACGAATATTATTTTCGAGACCTGAATGACTAGCGATTTTTATGAATTTGTATAATAAATTTTTGTATTTGCAATATATTCAGATAAATTATAATTACGAATTTATCATTTACGAAGAAGCTGAATCATGCAGATTTTGTCCCGTTAAAATAATTAGAAATTTTGTCATTACAAAATTAACACAATTAATCTGTCAATTGAAAGTCCTTTCTCAATTGCTGCTTTTATATGTATATTCTCGCGCTAAAGGAAGAATAATAACGTCAATTACTGTCATAAAACTTTGTATTATATAGAATTAGTATTTACGTTTGGATGTAAGACACTTTCTTACGTCGACTCGAGTTAAGTCCCTTCTTGTTTCCACGATGCAGTCCTTAAAATTATTGTCATTATAAGACGCTCGGCACAGGTGGCATCCTGTTCACCTGGTTTACCATAAATCTAACATACCTCTCGAATGCCGACACGATAATTTCAAGGATGCGCTCTCGTGGCCGAGATACGCAGAATGGTTTTTAATACCGCAATACTTTAACATCACCGTATTTTTATTCTTTGAACGCATGCCAACCGCAATACTAACAACTGGAAGAGTGGACTTTCGTTCTTGTCTAGGGTAAGTTGCGAACCGTTTGATTAGTGTGTGCCCAAATTGTTCTGCATGCCGTGATGAGAAGCGACGCACGTTTGACGACACGAGACATCCTATCTTTGGATATATCTATTACTGAGTCCCGGATTCGATTTAAGAGGATATTAAGAATAAAAGAAATTTAAGAATAAAAAAAATAAAATATATTTATATTCGTATATAAATCTTAAATATATAATAAAAATAAATTTTTATATTTAAGATTTATATACGAATATGAATATAAAATTTTCATTCGCCAAGAGCAACGATTATGAAGGTGAATACCGTCCCGTGACTTGTCATGTGACTCTTTTACAAATTGTGTAGCGACAGACTTGTTACGAGACAGACGCGAGATTGTACTTGCCGTCAAACGTGACATCGCCTCAACTATTTGTCGTACCCTCTGTCTAAAAAAAAAAAATGCGATAACAAATCATATGTTGTTTGATAAATAAGAATACGATTCCATGCCGTTACATCATGATCATGATCATGATCGTGACTGGTGGGTTTTTTTTTTAAATGCCGTCCTTGAAACGTATCTAACGCACGGATGCGATCTTGTGTTCGTTCGCGCGAGAAACTGTACCTCCCGTGAAAAGGCATCCACACACACGCCGAGTTTTTCCGTAATCGTAATTGCTCTTCGTTATTTTCGTCCGACGGACGTGCAAGTAATGGTTCTGCGAGATAAGCCGCGCTTGTTGCGTATGCCCAAACCATTTATTTGTCACGACTTCTGGATTATTCGTTGATAAAGAGAGTCGTTTGAAATTTTAATTGTCGTAGATTATTTAGTTACATTAGAATGATTACTTTTTTTGTAAAAATGCGAGTTTTTGTGGCTTGATGGTAATCTCGTTTTATTTATTTGCGAGGCCCACACACATGAAAGCCGATCTATATTTTCGATCAAATGCATGCGACGCACCAATAAATTACATTATAGCTGTAAGGGCAATATGTGATATTAGCAAATAATTGCAGGTGGTTCCGTGCGGCCTTCGAATCTGCCACGTAAGATCACAAAGAGTTTTCTGAATCCTTACAGTTTTTCGATTATTTGTTTCGATGTGTTCTTAGCACCCAGATTTGAACTCCCGAATTGAGTAGAAGTAATAACACGTCGTCGAGGGTTATCTTTTACTTTCGTTCTTGACTATGTGTTTGATATTAGCCGACACTTAATCATTACATGACTTATTCACAGTTCCCATTAATACTTACTCAGAAGAGCACGTTTTACGTGAGAAAAGCTTATTCACACATTTAAATTATTTAAAGAAATACAAGTCTTGTTTTACTTTTGTTGTCCTTATGATAAGATTATTTTCACATGATACATCTAAGCTTTTCTAGTGCTTGTTTATTTATTTACACAACGATATTATAACACTAGATATAAAGTGTAACAAATATTACTACGAATGAACGAAATTTATTTTAAAATTCAAGTGAAAATAAAGGAAAATTTTTTCTTATTTTAATCAGATAAAATTCGAGAAGGCATCGACTTTTGAACATATTTGATCGAAAATTTTTACAATAATTAATTTTGTAACAAAAATTTTCTTTCTCTCTTGTCACTTGTTTTATCTTTGAAAAACATGTATTTTCGTGTGTTTCTCTCTCAGCTCATTGTTCAGGAGCACGATTGGCATAATTGTTGGAATTATTATTTTATTATCTCCGTCATGTATTACAACTGTTTTTTAATTTCTTATTATCTTCCGTCATGCAAGTCTCGACACAAGATAATATAATAAGTATAATCTCAACGTGTGTTTTTTGAAAACAATATCACTAGTCGTAACATATAAGCGCGAGTTATGTTTTTGCTTCTCATATCTTTATTATATAAATTGTCACGCGTTTGGCAGTTGCTGTGAAAAAGGAGAGATGACGTAGCGGAATGAAGAATCTCTCGCGTCACCAAATCCTCAATTTGATTTTCAAAGTAGCACACACAGGTCGCGTATACGTTACATAATTACGCATCGCAATGCTATTCTCGTATGTTATATCCATGATATCGCGGAAAAATGCGTTAATTGCCGTCGCGATAGCTACCAGGAACACTGCCGGTTTCTTATCTGCTGTGCCTTTGCGCGACTTTTTTTATTTCTCGTTAATACACAGATAAGTACTCGGTAAAAATGTCGAGGAGCACAAACTCGCGAGAAGTCGACTGTCGTCTCGTCGTGACGTAAGTCCTTTGGGCGATACATCTGGATAAGATTTCGCGAGAACGGACAATGAGTGACTAAAGGCAATTGAATTTCTCGCGTGCCTAGCCGCTATCCGTTCGAAGATACTTTCGTGCTTAGTAACTCTAATAACTTTCAAATACTTGTCGAATGCTTTTGCGACACAATGAAATCAATTGTCGCGATGGCTCGTCTACGAGAAAAAGGTTGTCTCATTTCATTTATCAAAGATATATAACGGGAAATTCCATTGATAAAAATTTCATTAAATAAGAACGATCACTCAGAGGCTTTATTTCTAATAATACAATAGGATGTTATCCTACTTTTATCTTATCTTTTCTATTTTTACAGTAACGCAATCGCGTAATTACATTGTCCTTAGCAGCGTACCGAGTTTTTTAAACTGGTACAAAGAATTGTATGAGAATTGAGAGGAGGCCTTTTAACTTATTTTTTGCACAACTGCCAAACATGTGTATTCATCAAGGTAATTCCATTGTAATTACACGTTTTCACGAACGATGACGAACATTTTTGTGCTATCTGTATTTAAGAGACGCGCCGGCAGATAACTCGATCGTATCTGCAACACTGATATCGCAAGCATTACGTAATTATGATGAACTCTTTGATAATAACGTTGACAATATAGCGCGAATATATCTGTAACGATACAAGATATCGTAGTGTGGAGAAGAATTTATATAAGTATAAAGAACAATAAGGAAAAAGACAAAACTTTTGATAACGGAAATATTCGGCAGATATAATCTATACAGACATTCTGCTTCATTCATTTTTTATTACGACGTAACAAGTATATTAATTACATTAAATGTAAAAAGGACATTAAAATATATTGTAAAATATATTGAAATAATACATGTGATGTATTAAATAATTAAAACATATTGAAGCAATATATTGTATTGAATAACAATACTCTAACATGTGTATAGATAGATATAAGAATGTCGTATTATAATTTCCTTAATACGCGAAGCCACATTTGTTTTACGGAAAAAATATTTTCTCGCTATTTCGTGCAATTTACGATCTACATATTTTCACCCATAATTCTCTTTTACGTTACGAGAATTATTTTGTTCAAATGTCAAACTATTATTTCATGATGCAATTCGTAAACACTTTGCACGCTTTTTACACCTTTGAGGGTCAAGTGCGATGAAGCAAGAGACAATTTCGGCCGAGTCACTCATTTTTTCTTTTTTTTCTTCGTCGTTTGCAGGTGATGAACCAGGAAGTCAAGAAGGAGACTCCACTGCAGTTCAAGTTCCGTGCAAAATTCTATCCCGAAGACGTCGCCGAGGAATTGATACAAGACATTACGTTGCGACTTTTTTACCTTCAGGTAAAAAATTATTATGCACGCAGTTATCTCGTTCTCTCTTCCTCTTTACTCGCGATTTCAGTAACAATTTTTAATTTGCTGCTTCGATTCTCGAAGTAATTTGGAGACTTATGATTGATGTACAGAGCAAATTGATCTAACATAAAAACGATGCATCATTTATTCGTCGGTTGGATTAAGCCATGTGCATCAGACTAACGTTCGTTTATCTTATTCGCTCCTTCTCGTCGTTCACTATCTCACTGTCCTCTACGGCGGATACGCGAACACCAGGAATGCGCTCTAATTTTTTGCTCAGTTGAACCGGACAAATACATTAGCGGATTAGCGTTTAAAAATAACGATGCCTCGTGAAATAAGCGGAATTTCATTCACAATATTCGGAATATCATTTCGAACAAATGTAAAATTTTAATATTTTTTAAAATATTAATTTGCAAATGTTTTATTAATTACTTATATAGACTGCAATTTTAGCGAGTTTCTTTTTATTATGTTAATCGGTATTGCTGTTTAAATAATTATGTGATTAATTTAAGTAATTGATATTAATGTTTTAATTGATCGCAGGTGAAGAACGGTATTCTCACGGATGAAATATACTGCCCACCGGAAACATCCGTTCTGTTGGCTTCGTACGCCGTTCAAGCGAGACATGGAGACTATCAGAAGGGCAACCATCCCGCCGGCTTCCTGGCGAATGATCGGCTGTTACCACAACGCGTGGTGGACCAACATAAAATGAGCAAGGAGGAGTGGGACAGCTCTATTACAAACTGGTGGCAGGAACATCGTGGTATGTTGCGAGAGGACGCCATGATGGAGTATCTGAAAATTGCTCAGGTATCTGTTAAATAGCGTGTACAGGATGTAAATCCAAACAGCGAAGACTTCAGGAGGGAGTTACGGCACATATCGATATTTGTACTAATTGCAAAATTATTTTATCTTCGCATTATTTCAACTACTGTTAGAAATTCCTTTTTTTTATTCATGTAAAGTATTCATTTTGTGCTGCAATCCGTTCCTGAAGGCTTGCGTATCTGTGTTACAACGACGCGTTTTAATTATACTTTTTAATTACTTGCATAATATCGTATTTTAACGTGACGTTTGTTTGCGAAATAGTAACTTTTAACCAGTCTTTCCAAGAACGTTACGCGGACTCCATTTCTGCACTCGGAAAACCGTTTTACCGTGCCTAATCATGAAAAGTTTTTTGGAATACTGCTACTCTTTGACTTGGTGTCACTGGTATCGTTTTAGTATTTTTCTTTATTTTTGCTTTCCGTAGGATTTAGAGATGTATGGTGTGAATTACTTTGAAATTCGCAACAAGAAGGGCACAGACCTTTGGTTGGGTGTGGATGCTTTAGGTTTGAACATCTACGAGAAGGACGATAAGCTCACGCCGAAAATCGGCTTCCCCTGGTCCGAGATACGGAATATCTCATTCAACGATAAGAAATTCATAATCAAGCCAATCGACAAGAAAGCACCGGACTTTGTATTTTTCGCCGCCAGAGTCAAGATTAACAAGAGAATTCTTGCACTATGCATGGGCAATCACGAGCTCTACATGCGCAGACGTAAGCCAGACACGATCGACGTGCAGCAGATGAAGGTAGGAACATCACGTTGCGTCATATTGAATCACGAAATTAACAAAAGTAACTATGTAATTATTAATACTTATCTAAAGCTGATTATATAAACGTTATCATTAGCAATACATGTTTGACACTTTACGTAATTCATTGTCAATAGCATATTGAAAATTTATTTAAGAATTAAAGTGTGCAACTAATAATTTAACGGTTCAACTAAAGGCTGTCGCAATCGTGTAATTGTTAGGATTCGTTTTAATTAATTGTAACAAATAATAAAATATATATATTTTGCTTTCGAAGCTGTAACGAGATTGCGATATAATTCCTTCAGGCTCAAGCCAGGGACGAAAAGATGGCGAAACAGCAACAGAGAGAGAAACTGCAATTGGAGATAGCCGCCCGGGAGCGTGCGGAGAAGAAACAGCAGGAATACGAGGAGAGGCTAAGAAATATGGCGGAGGAAATGGACAGGCGGAACGCCGAGTTGAACGAAGCTCAGGAAATGATACGGCGCTTGGAGGAGCAGCTGAAGCAGTTGCAGGCTGCCAAGGAAGAGCTAGAGAATCGCCAGAAGGTGAGCGAGTTTATTTCACCGTGATTTAAAGAAAAATCATCGTTCTGTTATTAACGAACTATAAATTATCGTTTTTGTTTTTTTTTATCTTTAATTTGCATAATTCCAATATTGCATATGCATGTGCGTCTACGCACGCTTTTTTTTCTTGTGTAACCGGTGTTATATGTGTGTGTATGTGTGTGGCGCAGGAATTGACAGCGATGATGGAAAAGTTGGAACTCTCGCACGAGATGGAGGCTGCGGAGCGCGCCAAGCTCGAACAGGAGATAAGAGCCAAGCAGGAGGAGGTGCAGCGCATACAATCGGAGGTGGAGGCTAAGGACGCGGAAGCCAGGAGATTACAGGCTGAGTTCGAAGCTGCCAAGTATGGGCAATTTTCTTCTTTTTCTCATCCTTTGTTTCTTAGTTATCACGATCGGGGGGATAATTGCATGTTTATCAACTTTCATTATGCAAGATTGAGACAAGAAGAAGCTGACCGGCAGTATCAGGCCAATCAGACGCCGCATCACCACCACGTCGAGGAGAACGAGGAGGGCGAGGAGGAAGGTGAGGATGAGGTTCCTCAAGGAGACGTCACTAAGGACCTCGCGACTGACGAGTCAATAATCGATCCCGTCGAGGAGCGACGCACTTTAGCGGAGAGAAACGAACGTCTTCACGATCAATTAAAGGTACTTTGATATTTGACGTAAACATATTTTTTCATTTTGTATTTGAAACAATTCTGTAATTTTATACAGTTAAAACTGTTGTTTTTAACTGTGCTTTTAATCTCTAAAATTTCTTCTAAAAATACGTTGAAAATAATCTGAAAATACGTTCTTGATGCAAATTTCGCGAGGGATCCTTACTGTAATGAAATGCTTTCGTTAACAGGCATTGAAGCAGGATCTCGCCCAGTCGCGCGACGAGTCCAAGGAGACGGTGATGGACAAGATCCACAGGGAAAACGTGCGCCAGGGCCGCGACAAATACAAGACGCTTCGCGAGATTCGCAAGGGCAACACCAAGCGCCGCGTTGACCAGTTCGAGAACATGTAAATTAATGTGCGTGCATCTAATCACTTACCTTATACATGTCCTTTCCTACCTTTAATTTCTCACCTGAGCGCGAGAGCGGAGGAATGCGGTAAAGCGAGATAAACGAGAGGGAGAGAAAAGGAGAAAGCGATTGATAAGGAGGTAAGGCAGGGAGAGAAGTAGAGAGAGGTATAGATTCTACAATCGATGTATAAATAGAATAACTTGAACAACAGCAGACACACATTTTTCGATCAATCAAACTTTGAACCTTTTTCAAACATTTGCGCGGTTGACTATTAAGAATTATAAAGCAATATTCGCGTCCACGGTTAGTTTAATGACGATTCTATACCCTCACGCAAAATAATCGATAATCAAAGCTTTTACACTTTCGGTGAGAGGAACGCGACGAGAGCGAGCGACTCGCGCCGTCTTCCACATATACTACTTCCACGTTAATTAACGCTGCACGATTGGCTCCATCGCGGAATGAATCGTCTCACATGTCTCAGGAGCGCGAAGCAAATTTTTTCGCTACTTCGCGCAGACGTGCCTTGCTCGTGAAACTGATAATTCTTAAACTGTCTTCTAGTAGCAAAAGTGGCCCTGAATATTATTACTCTAATAAATTAGCGTAACGATATCACTCTTGTTTCTACAAGATAGAGGCACCTTGCGCCCGAGTGACGAGAAAATTTCCGGCATTGAATCAATTCGTTACCGTTACTTAAACCTTTTTTTTCTTGCGCATCGACGGATCCCCAACATCTCGACCACCGAGGTATCAGTATTGTCTCTCGTCACGCAATAAGTATTACTGCCGGTCATTCAATTCGCGTCGCGAGACGCCCTTAATCGCTGACTACCCACCGGTGTGTTTCCTGCCCGTCGCGGTTCTTATCGCGTCGTCGCGCGATATCGTCCGTCCTCGATAATAAGGATTTTCATTTTCGAGAAGCCATCAATGCCTATCATCACACCACTTGCACCTCGGCTGATGCGTCGCGACGGCAATCGCGGTCGTTACCCGTTTACGGACGGTTGTCTTCTATTTGTACGCTTAATTCGGGCCATATTAGACAGGAGGATGTTGTAGACGTTCGGGGAAGTTACTTGATGTCCACTAATAGTTGACCGGCGATTTTGTAAGCCACTACACCGGACACGCAGAGAGATCGAGATCACGTGGCTTATTGTAGCGAGTTAAGTAGAAATTTAGGCGTAATTCACCTTTTGAAGTTCGTATTGGGGCAGCGACCGCTTCGAGCAAGGGGACATTTTACGACATCCGACATTTATTTCCGTCTTTCAGCGATAAAAATTCAAAGTTCTGAGCAATATTATTTATTAGATAAGTAGTCATCTCGTGTATACGTATACGTACGTTTCGGGAAAGTCGGCGAATAAGATTCGAATCTTCAATTGCGTTTCTAAAATTCAATAAGTTTTAAGATAAAATATCTCATTCGTCGCATGTCGCGCATTGTCCCCTTGTACATTATACACGAATCATTGCGGCGCAATCCGTCATTCCGGATTAATAAACGTAAGTGATTCAAATGATGGCATGGCCTATTTACTACTGGTAAAACTGTACCGAACTATTTTCGTACGAGCGAGTTTCGATAACACGTTAGCGATTTTATATTGAACACACTCGTGGCCTTTACTTGATATACATATAAAGTATATAAATAAATATATATATATATATATATCGAAGTACTATAGGTAGTACTAATGTAATGACTAGCCGAGAGAGAAAGAGAAATGTAAGGATATCGCGCCATAGAAAATGTGTCCTGCATACCTTCACAACACAAGATCGAATCGCGCGATACCCGCCTAATGGCTTTAGCTACCAAGATTTCCGAAAGAATGAGGGAACGAGTGCGAGAGAGGGAGAGAATGTGTGATAAGAGAGAACAATTAACCGTATGCATGTGTGTGTGTATGAAAGAGAGAGATAGAGAGAGTGAGAGGCCGAGTGATAGAGAAAACATTTATGGCAGTCATATGCCATTGTAATTTTTTAAAATCTTTCGCGCCTCTTAAAAGAACGTTTCTGTACGCAAAAGGGATTAAAATTAACGAAACAAAACTCGAACCTCAAGACGCTGCCAATTTTTCATATACGAACGGAATGCAAAACGAAAAGCGATAGCAGCAAGTGTGATACGAGCGGACGAGATGTATGTATGCGTGTGTGTTGTGTGTGAGCTTCACGTAGGAGGGAAGATCGCGAAGTAATGTAAACGATCGCGCCGTATCACGGAAGAGTTTGTACTTTGCTACACATTATTATCATTCACCGCCCGCGCGTTACAATAATATGCGAAGCAGAAAGGAGGAAAAAAAAAGTACAGGAGTTAATAACGCGACAGATATTTTTTGATTATATTTAATATTAAAGATTTACAAATTCGTAGTGTTATATTATTAATATTAATGTTTACAATTTAGTAGCGTTATTATTATTTTATTATTATTATGCAGATAATATTGAACGAGAACTAAAGGAAAGCATTTTATAGTCGTCAACTTATATTCTTAAGATAATCTAGAGCACGCAAATTTGGTCGTAGTTTGTAAGAGAAGATTCTCGGATGTTCGATATAGATCAAATTTTTTAATTCAAATTCTTAATTATTTTTTCTGAATTCTGTTCACCTGCAGATTTATAGCGAAAATTTTTTCTAATAAGCGAATATAGTTGCACTTAAGAATTGTGATCCAAGAGGATCACAATCTTTCTCAATCTTTTTTGAACTGTCTATTCTTGAGAGTGCTGCAGACTTGCGACCAGATATACGTGTGAACAAGAAAAAGAATCAAGATTTACTAATTAAAAAGATCGCACGATAACATTCTGATAATCGATGAAATGGGCGAGAACAAACTTGAAAGTTCGTCTCGATAATCTCTTTGGCGATTAAACGCTTTGGCGAAACCGATGAATTTTTATTGAGACATTCCAGAATTCCCCCGTAAAGTGCTTTTATCCCCCCCCCTCCCCCCGATTTACTTTGGGTTTCTTCGAATAATGGGAGTAGATATTCGATTCGAACTATCGATTTGGTGAAGATCGCACCTCGACCTTCTTCCTATCTTCACAAAATTTCGCGTTTTCGCTTGTCCCCTCGGTGAGAACGTGCTCAATTCTAGGATTCATTTTAATTCGAAGGAAATAAAATTTACAAATTCGAACATAGAAAGTGAACTTATTCCATAACGCTTCTCACAACTTTAACAGTCTTAAATTGGAATATGTAAGACTATAAAATTGTGAGTTTGTCTAATTGGCGTGAAGTCGTTATTTAGATCTTAGAAAATCTGTACTCCTGACATTTCATTTGGGCCGTTCGGGAAATCTCAACGGGCAAGTCGTACGTTCAGAGTCATTCTCTTTTCATTTTTCTCGAAAGGATCCTCGAAGTTGCGTCCTAGAGTTGAGTAACGTTTACCCGGTTCTTCGCACTCCGCTGCAGACACGAAAGTATATGTTAAAAGTAGCGAAACACCGTACCATTACCGTCCTTCATGAAGGTACACACACACATACACATACACATGGTGCTACAGCCTTTTTTCCTTCCTGAAACATATCGAAATGTTGCGTCGAAATACTTGCCGTCAGGCATGCGTTTCGTTCCTTTTTTTTTTCTCGTCTTCCTCCTTTCCAGGCTGATGTGAGACGCAAAACTCGGCGGCGTTCACGATTCGAAGAATTCGAGCGTACGCGCGTCCTTTTTCCGTTTCTGCAAAAACCGTGAGAGGATCCTCGTAGCAATATTATCGAGCTAATTTAAATAAACCGGCGATGACACGAGATACATATATATATATATACATACACACGATGCAAAGACGCATGCATAGACATTGTATTTTAACGAGAACAATATTATTTGTTGGTGCGAGGATATAATGGAAACTACTTGTACTTTCCTGAGGAAGCTAGAGATTGTTTAAATAAAAAGAATTCATATCAAACCCGCCGAGAAAAGGAAACTGTCGAAATTGTTCACCGATCAATCCGTATCCTACAAAGAATGGAAATGTGCGCTAGGATCTAGCTGACATTTCTAAATATCTTTCAGTTTCAACGCTGAGAATTTGAGAACGAGGCGCAAGATATCAGAAAATCTAGTCATTTAATCAATTTTATGTTCTATTAATATACAATTATATTATCTATCAACATGTAAAAATCATTTTTAAAAATCAATGTCAAATATCTTCTGTAAGAAGCGTTAATCTTTTTCTTGGCATTTCCGATTGAAGATCTCACGCTTAAATTTTGTAAATTAATTTCTGTGATTTTTATATTTTCACTTTTATGTTTTTTTCAAGCCGATTATTGAAACGCGTTTTTCTACCAAAGCTGGAAATGTAATACACATTACTAAATTAACTTAATATGCGTCTTATAAAATATAAAAGTGGATTTTGTTGCGAAAAAAATCATCTCAAAATTCGAATCAAAACATTAACCGCGAAGCGAGTTTTTAATACTTATATTAAAATGTTTTTCCAAGACAGGTGATTTATAATTCGCATCTCGCCTTAATCGAAGATTGCCGCTTCCATGACTTATCGATATTCGCTGGCGGCGTTTCGCGCCTGCGTGTTGCGACCCACGGGCCGCGGAGCGACGAGAGTGACGACGACGACGACACGAGCGCGGCGATGAGTGGCGACGACGACGACGACGACGTCGGGCGCGTTTCCCGTGGCCGAGTGACGATGCAGCGCCGCCAAAGGTCGAGCCGCGCCGCGAAGATTCCCGGCTGCGAGTCCACGGACGACGAGGACGTCGATCACGCAAGGTGAGCGGCCCGGCCGACGGTGGGACGTCCTGCCCAGCGACACGTGGCCCTACGCGACTCGCGGACAGGTTAATCCGCAGGATCGACGGAATCGATCGGTGTCACGATCGCGGCCGCTCCGCCGCTATCGTGCGGTGCGCCCTTTGTTTACATTACCACGCGGCGGCCGGTCGGATTAGATTCCGACCGCTTGGCCGTAGTGCGCGTGACAGCAATCCGCGTTTACTCGCCGATTCCTCGTCATCCGTCATCGCGCGAGCCAGTCGCGACGGATACCCGAATCCCGTCGGCGTGACAGTCCGACGGCGGGGCGATAACGACGGCAGAGATTCCCGCGATCGCGAATTCCTGGCGATTTCCTCGCCCGAGACACGTCGCTCATCTCTTTCTCTCGTCGGTACAGATTCGTGTCATTCGTGATTATCCTTGTTGCCTTTTAATTTTTGTGGAAAAAATTTCACTCGAGAGAGAGAGACGAAGATTTTTTAATAGTTTGTGTACTCACGGTTGTGCTTGTGTGCGTTTCTGGTATGTAATAATGATGCTCTCGCATCAGGAAAAAAATGTCAATTTATATTTGCACCAAAATTTTTAATACCGTACAGAAGAAAATTCTAATCGTTCTTTACATATTAAATGTTATTATAATAGCTGTTATTTTTGGCAATAGCACACATACTTGTAATTATTTTTCTTCAAATTTTAATTTCTATTATTAATTTACCATTATTTCCCACAATTTCTGTCTCAGCCAAATCTGTCAGATTTTGCAATGCGCCCACTAGCAATTTTATCAGCAGATTTATAGAAATATAACGGAATCTGTTAACAAAATGTGACGCGATTGATTGCAGGAACCGCATGGAATTTGTATCTTGTAATAATTTCAGTAATATATTTTATTTAAATGATTGACAAATGACAGATAATTTATGCTGGAAATTAATCTGCTGTCAGATTATGTCGACAATCTCTGTTGAAAAAACATGATCATGATGTAGTTAATGCTAATTCATCGTAAATATTCTGTTAGATTCTATCTAACTGACTAGCATATTAATAACGTATTACTAACATTTCGCTCAAACAAATGAGTTGATATTCTTAATGTTTTCCTCAACAAAAAAAAAAAAAAATTGCGCGTGAGAGAATTCGCGAATGCTGCTTTCACGCGATAACGCTTTGTTTTTGTCTGATGGAATTGTAATATCCCGTCTCTCCCGTAAAATTTCCCCGATGATAAACCTTCGGCGATAAACCTTCCGGCGGAAGCGCACATTCGATTAAATATCTTGTTTGCAGTAAGGATGAGTCAATCAGTCCGCCAAACGAGTTCGAAGAGTCGCTGCACGCGATGTCGGATATCTACGGACAAACGCCACCCAGGACTCGTCTCCGTAGCAAGAAGAGGCACATGAAGCAGAAGCTCGCGTCTGGCGGGTACGTCGTGCCAGCAATGTTGCAAATTAAAACCGCGCGAAGAATCGCTGGGAAAACGTATAATTATTATATGTGGATGCCAATTCATTTGGCACGGCATTTGCGACGCGTTATTTTGCGAATTAAGCACGAACGTATTTAATGACCGATTGTCAACACATAAAACACTTTGTACGCATTTCATACAATTTTAATTATATAGAACGATTTCGAAAATTGGAAACTGCTGTAAGAAATGCATTTCCAACGTGTGCAGAAGTCGCTTTTCTGCACGCTTCGCGGAAGATAGCTCGCGCGATATGAATCCACCCGGTCGCTAATTTGATTGTCACCCTTTGTGTGGCTACAAAGTGTGCGAACTATCTTCAGTCTTTGTCATTTCCAGCGATCTTAAGTCAATAGAGAAAGAAGCTAGGCCAAGGACGGCTATCCACAGGCGCAACACCCTGGACACTATCATCTTCAACGAAATGTGCGACAAAGCGGACAAGGATTACGAGGACGAGACGAAGGAGGACGCGAAGGAGGGCAGCCGAAAGAGCAAGAGAAGCTTGAAGCTGTTGCGCGGCAACGAGAGGGACCTGAAACTCGACGTGGAGGCTGCCCACAACTATGCCGAGAGGTACACCGGCGACATGGCAGTGTCGACGCCGAATCAAATCAAGGTTCGCGAGAGCAGAGATGCGATTTCGGGCATTGGCTGCGTTTGGAGAACTCTGGACGGTTATGCTTATGATTAGTGATATGCTGATCAATCACAGATCTGTTTTTCCGATCCGTCAAATCTGTTATTGCTTTCCAAACGCAGCCGTTCTCATCTTTTCGCAGACGTATTTGGCACATAGTCAAGAAATATGTTCTTTCTCGCAGGTCGAAACTAGAAATAGATTTCGCTGCCTGCGATCCAAGCCTGTTGACGTGGAGGAGAAGAAAAAGGTGGAGCGCGAGGATAGCGAGCGGAGCGTGTTGTTAAGTGAGGAAAGTTTACGCGCGCAATCGCCGAGAACGCAGAGCTTGAGGGAGAGAGAAATCTTCCACGACACGTTCTCTTTTTTAATTAAGTTGGTAAATATCTTATTGAAAAAAAAAAAATAAATTTGAGCCAAATCAAATGCACTTTACTATCTGTAGAATGTTATATCTTTATTATTTATCGCTAATGAAATTATCTGACTTTTCGTTGCGCAGGGGAGCACAGAACGGAATTGTCGTCGTCAGATGAGTCACGAGGAGACCAGGTGGCAGAACGAATTAAAGGACCTGATATGGCTGGAATTGCAAGCGCATCACGCGGATCGCAGTCTGTTTGCTCAGGATGAATATCTGTGCCGTCAACGAGAGGCGGTGGATGGTTTACTTTCAGAAATAATGGAGTACAGGTGAGCGGAAGCGTGGCTGGAAGGGAATCGATTTGCGATAATAATTTCGATTAGATACAATGAGAAGAGAGTTACATCAGATACGCAGCGAAGAGTTACATCAGATCGCGCTAAGAGAACGCAATTGTTGCATTAGATACGATCCCATCGCGGACGCGCAAGAGGGTGGCTCGAGTTGCATCAGCCCCGGCGACAATCCGTGCGATCGATCCACGAATTCCGGTTTGAGCCCGAACGTCGAGCTGGGCGTATGCCCGGGTTGTCTCTCCATGTACTGCCGTGCGTGCGCCCGCGCGCAGGGGGAGGCGTTGCAGCAGGTGGAAGCTCTGCTGGCTCGCCTGGAGGTAGTGGAAGCCCTGTATCCGTCCTCCCACGCGTTCGCCGTTTATCACCCGTTGTACAAGAGCCCGGAGTTCACCGACAGGGTGAAAGCCATGTGCCTCTGGTACAACCTGACGAAGCACCATCGGTTCAAACTGCAGATACTGGGCAGATTACTCATGATGCTGCACAGCAAGAAGAAGCAGGACGAGTTCAACGACTCCGGCATCAGGTACGTGGATTTGAATTGCATCACTCTGGCAATACTTTGGAATTGTACTATTTATACTTCGTAAGAATTTTATTTTATTTAGCAATGTGTCTGAAAAAACAAGAATCTTGGAATTTCTCTTAATATATATAACTTGATGTTTAGAATAGAAATGATAATCGATCGTTCCTATCCCTCGTATAGTTCGCGATCTTCAGATACCGTCGATTCTGCGGAGCGACAATCTATAGTGCGATTTGAACTACCTCAACAGGACGAAACTTCCAGCCCCTCCGACAGCAATAACAGCAACAATTCCTCGATCGGGGGTTTATCATTTATGTCGCAGTCACTGCCACCCACTCCGGAAACCTCGTTTTCATATTTTGAGGACGAAAGAGTCGACGAAAGAGTTGATCGACTTGACTTCTACTTGGTCGAGTTCGATAGACATGCTTATAGGTACGTTTTGATAAATTATTAAATATATTTAATAGATTAAGGTTGTTTTTAATTTTATTACAAGATTTTAATTTAAATTTATTATTTAAATTATTTATTATTTTCATAAAATTATAAATAATCATAAAGATTATAAAATTTTTTTAACTCTATTTTATTTTTAAACTGTTAAAAAATTGTAAGCTTTATACGAATATAAATATATGACTTATGATTTATATAATGACAACTTTTTTGTTTGTCACTTAGAAAATACATTGAAGATGTGCTAAAAACGAGAGGTCTCAGGAAGAGTTTGAATTTCTTGGATCGATTACATACGTCTATATTGAGAAAGGCAAGATTAACTTTGGAGAAAAATGATTTTGAGGGAAGCGATAGCAGCGCAACTGAAGAATACGAAGGTGATAAGGAATTACGACGGTACGGGAGTTGGAGCTCCGAGGCGAAGGAATTAAATCTACCATCATACAGGTGCGTGAAATTTCTTATAAAAAGATCTCTTGATTTTTAATATATTTAACTTAGATATCGAGGAACAATCCGTTTTGTTAAAAAATTCTGATTTGATTCAAATTTGATCAAAGTTCATTAAAGTACGTTAAACACTGTACGTCAAAGTAAACGGTTCGCCGGTGATATTTTCTTTCTCAGGGCAGCTTTCGTGTTTCTCTCGCGTGTGCCTCTGGACGTGGTCCATGAATTTCTGAGGATGAGATTGGAGCAGAAGCCGGAGCAGCCGAGTCCGTTGTCGGTCCGACAGCTCATGCGGGAGCTTCGCGAGGGTCTTAGGATCGCTTGCATCCATCGCGACCGGTTCGCCGCGCACTCTCGTGCTGCCGTGGCCAGCGACGAAGCCGGCTGTGAGAGTCTGTTTGAGGAGGACGTCAAGTACTTCGACGAGAGTTTGAGGGCCGTGTTCGAGTTGTATTTGGATTATCTTCAGCAGTGGGTAGACATGGTGCAGCACGACAGCTTCCACAAAAATCTTATTATGGACGAATGGCTGTTCGTCAAATCCATCGCTGGGAATATAAGTGACGGATATAAGATTGCCGGCGTGAAATTCTAGTAAGTGACGTACCACGATAACTAGATTTTTTTTTTATATATAACTTGCATTAAGAACACGATAATGAAAAAGAATTAGAATAGCAGTAGACTTAATATGAGAGAAGAACGAAAGTTAAATTATTATTAAAGAGTGTATTCTTTATTATATTTTAATTGCATTCTTTATTTATATTTTACTTTGTAGTGTTTTACATATATGTGATATGAAAGATGTTTCTTACAGTAAAATTGCGCATACGATGATCAAGCAAGTGAATGAATTTCTCGTCGAACGGACTCGCGAGATCCGGGAGAACGCGTATTACGAAGAGAAGGAGGACGACGACGAGTTGGCAAACAAGTAAGAAGTAGAGAAAACTTCCATTTATTCGTTTCGACGCTTTTGTAAATTGTTTCTTCTGTAATGAATCAATTCTTAGATTCCACCTGATGTGTGTGGGCCGCGAGTGGCAGGGAATGTTCGTGGAGGCTCGGGAGAAGATTGTGAAGAGCATCAATCTCGCCAAATGTTTGAAACGCGACATCGAGAAATGGCCCGTCTCCGACCAGGAATTGGAGGAGTCGTTAAAGCTGGTGAAGGTAAGACTAAATAAATGATTATGCAACTGTTGAGAAGCTAAATTTTTTCCTTCTCGCGTTTGCGCAGGATATAATCCTGGATTTGAGGCATCGCATAACGATGGTGATCGATGATTTTCAAAGCGAGGCCATCGAAGTGGAGCAGTCGAACACCGAGAACGATCAGATGCCCTTACGATCGAGGATCCGCGAGATTCTCCATCAGGCTTACAAGATGGGCTTTGACTTTCACAAGGAGATGTGCAAGCTATTCTCGCTGGAAGAGAAAGCCATCCTGGCGCGGGGTCTGGTGTCGTTCGCACTACTGTGGATGGAGTTTGTGAGAACACGATGCGAGCGTGGCCGCGGCTTGAGGCCTCGATGGGCGAATCAAGGTCTGGAATTTTTAATAACGGTGTGCGAGCCGCACAACACGAAGCATCTCACCGACCAGGAGTTCGAGGAGTTAAAGAGATGCATGGATCGCTGCATATCTCATGTCGTGGGGACCGTATCGGTTACGGGATCGACGCCGGAGACAGAAAGTAATTCGATTTTTTAATCATTAATTTTAGACATTCATTTTTAGTTGTATGATTATTTTTTACATATCATTCATTGTTATGGTTATAAATTTAGTTGAAATTATAAATATCAATTTTTATTATTTTAGATGTCTGTTTTGTTTCCTGAATTTATCAAAGTTTTTGGAACTTTTCTAAATGAATGATTTAATCTTGAAAATGATCAAATGAATAGATTTTATAACGATCATCAATATTTATTTTCAGACATAAGACGACTGTCGCGATCAAGAGCTTCATCGCCGTCACACCACGGCCGTACTAGAACTGCGAGCATCACCATTTCTCAGAAGCCACGGGACGCTTTGAAGTCACCCGAGCTGTCGGTCAGCGTGAAGAAAAATAATTCGTCGAATATGGTTGACGGAAATCTCGCGGTGATAATAAACATGCCCGAGCGGGGCACGCACAGGCACGAGAGAGTCATCCGTGCCGTCAAGAAGGTGGAGAACGAGCTCGACGATAAGTTGCGAAGCCGAGAGCTTATCGGACAGACCATCGACAGGAAAGCAGTGGATAGAGTTCACATCAAGGCGAGACGAGTTACATTCACGTGGCAGCGAGGTATTAAAATAGGTACGTTTTACGATCGTCTGGAGAGCGCATGGAAGGAATTATCTATTGTATCGATAGATGATTTAATTATAATAATTATAATTTTTAGTTATTTTAATAAATGAATTTTATTACGCAGGCCAGGGAAGGTTTGGCAAAGTGTATACCGTGGTGAACAATCAAACCGGTGAATTGCTGGCCATGAAAGAGGTACAATTGCAACCTGGCGATCACAGAGCGATCAGGCGTGTCGCCGAGGAATTACAGATCTTCGAGGGGATTAAACACCAGCATTTAGTGCGATATTACGGCCTAGAAATTCATCGGGTACGATAAACATAACATACTTGTCGTTATGATACAACTCGCGATCACCGCGTTATTACGATAAATTTTGCTTTCAGGAGGAGATGCTGATCTTCATGGAATTTTGTGCGGAGGGAACCCTCGAGAGCTTGGTGGCTGGTAGCGGCAACGGGCTGCCGGAATCTTTGGTCAGAAAGTACACTCATCAACTTCTTTCGGCTGTGGCAGCGTTGCACTCTCACGGGATAGTTCATCGGGATATTAAAAGTACGTTACATTTGAATAAAATCACATATAAAATTCATGTTATTTTTACGACTGTATAATATTTCTTTTTTTTCCGCAGCTGCAAATATTTTTCTAACAGACGAAGGCAATTGTCTGAAACTCGGTGACTTTGGTAGCGCGGTGCAGATTAAAGCCCACACAACCATGCCTGGGGAACTCCAGGGCTTTGTCGGTACGCAAGGTTAGTATTTTAATTTTTATGTATTAAACTCTCATACATTTATTGCCAATGTTATACAGCGGTTAAAAATCTAATGAACTGAAGACTTTACTTAAATTCTTGTAATTTCAATTATCTCTTCAATTTTTTTTTAAAGCTTATATGGCGCCTGAAGTATTCATGAAGTCTGAAAGTAGCGGACACGGTAGAGCCGCTGATATCTGGTCGGTGGGTTGCTGCATTATCGAGATGGCAAGTGGACGGCGGCCTTGGTCAGATTACGATTCAAATTATCAAATTATGTTTAAGGTAATTGCGATTAAATTCATTGTAAAGATGAAAATCTTTATAATAAGAATTTAATTGTTTTGATAGTCTGAGAAAGATAATGAAGGATGAGATATTTTAGATTAGGAATTTAAAATTAAATCTTTATAAAATTGAATCTTTTTCACATTTTTATTACATTTTTATTACAATTTAAAATTAAATCTTTTCACATTTTTAATTTTTAAATTGAATTTCAAATATTTTTTTTCGAACTCTCTTTGAAATTATTATATATCAGGAGACACGGTTGTAACTCGGCGCTAAAGAGTACGTGCGAGGCCGAACGTGTCTCTTTATGCGAGCTGGTGTTATTAATTATTTAACTTGAGATTTTTTCGGTTTCTTGTAAGGTTGGAATGGGAGAAACACCAACACTTCCAAAGAATCTTTCCGCGGAAGGCACAGACCTCGTGAAGAAGTGCCTTCAACACGATCCGAAGAAAAGATTGACCGTGAATAATCTCCTCGGGCACTCTTTTGCGCGTGCGGAATATGAGGATTGTAATGCTGATTTAACGACGCCGCGATAAAAGCTCAGGAAGATGTAAGTACTATCCGAATTACAATCTTTTAATTTTTTTATATTTTTTAATATAATATTTTCGTCATCAATCCTGGAGTGATATTGGTCAGTCAGTGATATTAGTGAGTAAGAAAATATAGAATCAGACAAATTCTATCATTTGGTGCAATTTGTGCAAAAATATATCTTGTGATAAAATTGCTAAGAAGATTTCGAACGAAATTTATACGACGTTCAATCTTTAGGGATAATATCTGTTTTTCTTACAGTGCACAATCTCTGTCAGGGCCTGGCAGAACTGGCATTCGCACTTAATCGGTAGAATTGTCCCACTCATTTGCTGTATTGTATTATTTGAATGTTCTCGCTCCTCTGAGCAATTCAGTGTGTTTTATCCAGCTTTAAACGGCACTGTTTAAACGTAATTTTTAGTTAATATTTTGTAATAGTTTGTAATATTTGCGGCAGGTTATACGAACGAAACAAGGCAGTCTGAAAATATTTTATCCACCTGACAAAACCAGTAATGTATGTACTATTGTGATCATGTTCTACTTAAGCATAATTATACATTATGCGTTTCCAAAGTACACTTTCTTTCGATTATTCGATTGTTAAATGATGAGGCTAAAGATTAGCTAGCTTTTAGTAAAAATTAGCTATTAGCAAAGCTTTTAGTAATGGAGAGATGTAAATTAGACTTTTGATGTACATAATTATAAAATTGTAAAAAAAAAACAAGTTTATTTTAGTTTTCTAATTAATTTGGAACAAAATAGCTTTAATAAAATCATTGCAGATTCAATGATATATTTAAAGATTAAAACGTTACTAATAATGGCGTTGATTTAATGTTTGTGAATAACAAATTAAAATGTAGGCTCCACACCAGGATTGTCTGGTGGAAGGAAAGTGCAACTTTGGGATACCCTTTATATCGTCTATGATATGTGATTAGATAGCTACGCTATTAGAATAAGTTTGATAATTCGAGCTGAAAGAATTGAAAGACCTCAGGAGCTTTAAATTCGATTGCCGCGATTCGATGATCGCGTGTATAATTTTTCACTCAGTCGAGTAATATTATATATTTATAAGGAATATATGGCCTTTAATATACAAGAACAATGAGAAATACACATTTCTCTTTATATTTTTATCTAAATATATCAAAATATATAAACAAATATAGTTTTATAATACGTGCATTTATCATTTATATATAAGCTCTAGCATATAATGTATGCTGTGTATTCCTTACAAATATACGACTGGTACAAATGACAGAGGCCAGATACTTCACATTCCGAGGATTTTATTCACGCCTCACAATTAGTATTAAATGCGGCTATCCGATCCTCACATCCCGTCACACAAACTTCGCATTTTTACCTTGGATGTTTAGGCGCTCGTATTTAGTGCTAGTTTGCGATCTACAGCGATTCAAAGAGAGGTGTGATTAATTGTAAGTGTTGCTCTAAGAGGCACCTTTTAAGGTACAATAACGGCAGCTTCGAGCATGCGTGTGTGTTATGCCTATATCAAATGATTATTTCGTAGACGAGAATGACTTGTTATTATTATAGAATGGATATTCTATTTTAAATAAAATATGACCAAGAATAAAGAGGGAAACAACGAACACTTCTGGTATTCCGATGGAGTTTATTTTTCTGCACGAGAAAACGTACACATGTGATACAACATACTTTGACAATGGGTCAATTACTTAGCGGAGGTATGCTGTGTATGCTTTCCGCGTGAACGGTAAGCCGAGCGTATTCAATCGTTTATCTATCAAACGTTTTACGCACGAAGGTATATGTAACTTATGCCACGATTTTTTTTTTTTAATTCTTATCCGAACAATTTTCTCTATTTCTTTCGAAAGATCAAATTTCGATCGAGCATTCATTTAGCGGAAAAACATTTTATAGAGATAATGAATAAACGTGAGCAAAAGGATCGAATGATATTCCACTTACGAAAATGAAGGCGAGTCCTTCAACTTAAGTGGAAAACTATAATAAGTCGCTCGCATAAGGATTAAAATCAGTCATACGTGACCCAAGAATAAAAAAGAAAACGCTAACTGCGAAGAAATTGTTTAAAATTAGGTTTCAAACTGTACAATATATTAACTTTTGAACTTATTTGCGTTAAAGTTTTTTATTTAAGAAATTGGATCATGTATGAATTATTTCGTACGTGGCATTAAAAATATAATTAGAAATTACTATAGTTTGTCTTAACTTTCCAGTTTATGGTCTATCGGACCTCGTTTTTTTATTTTATATATATATATATTTTTATTATTATTACCTATGTTCAGTTTTACGCAAAAATTCAATTTTTTCCTCTAGATTTATTATATGAGAGGGATCGAAAGAAAAAAGAAATTATATATATTATGTGTATACATGGAATTGGACAGTTAACAATATTGATACATGGTAGAGGAAATGAAAGTAAGGAGGATTTGCGAATTCGTTATATGAAGAGCCGGAATAAAAGGATAGAATTTATATTGCACGGGGAACTGAAGGTAAGGATAAAGTCAAGTCAATATTTTCGAAAACCGGCTCCGGGCAATCGTATCGACTAGCCAGACACTAAAGTATACATTATTATTCTTATGTGTGCCCTGATAACTTTCGTTTCGAATACGTTCTACACGCCCCATCTATGCTAGGCTTGCAAGATTCAAGCACTGATCCGAAGAACCGAAAGTTCAATGATATACAACAAATATATATCCACGAAGTCTTCAATAAACATTTTAACAACGATGAAAGCCACCTTCGCCTATAACACACGATTACAAATCGCACGCGTGAATCGCGACTTCTTAAAACAGAAGAGAAGGAACTGTCGACGCCTGAACAACGCAATTTGCTACGAATTTATCCTTGTTCTCATAGTCACGGAAAAAGTCTTATGTCTATTAACACTACACACTATTTTCACACGAAATATGCTACAATTATATATTTATACTTTCATTCTCGTCATGCCTTTTATCACCCTGCGATGCTAACATTAACAATCTTAACGCATAGCTTAAAATGTGTATTCTATAATAACCAACACGTTCGTGTAAACAATACTTTCATAATTCACAAACTAGACACCGACCGTTCACAGGATTAAACAGCTTCTCGGAGTCACGAATCAATCCTTAATGACTAATTCAGATAATCGCCAATCTAAATGCAGTTTCAAACGCGTGTTATTTTTTCCCATTCATTATATACTCTTATTGCTTTGGTCATCTGCTTACTCTAGAAATATAATTTTTATATCTGCGTCATCGCGTACATTCAACATTAAATGCATACGATTTTAATACACATTTAAATCAATGAAGTCTTTTTGGCGAACCAATGCTTGACATCGCTTTTGTGTTTTCCTCGAGAGAGAACCAACGTTCATCAATTTACATGGGAATTATTTGTGATATTAATTAATAACAAATAATTATTAACCAAGGTATTATTAGTGATCTGAAAAGTCACGGAATAGAATCTCTCTCTGTCGCGATTCACGCGACACGAAACAGCCCGGAAACAACGGATACAACTTAACGCGCCGTATATATTTCTATCTGCTACTTATAGAACTCTCGAGCTTACATACGTAATTACATTCGTAAGTGCTCCTAACGATTTATCAGGATACGTGCTATCCCGGAATAAGATCGTTCGCTACGTTGGCTTTCGCCTGATATGCGTATGATATTCTTGGCCGCAAAAGTGCGATCACAATTGGCTTCGCGATATGTATAAGTAAAAGTATTCCCTATATAATAGTAGTCGTAGTACTTCCTGGCTTTAAACTATGCAGTAATAATAGCGGTATTTGTGTGCTTCTTTCTTAGAATCTAAATATAGAACACCTGGCACGCGCGTTTACGTATACAGGGTGCAATTTAAACGCGGGCGCGGGGAGGGTGACAGGGAAGGAGGGAGGGTGGGGGTCCGCCCGTCGAAAATACACTTCTCAACAAAATTAAAGCATCACTTACTCTACCCTCCAAAAATAGGCAAAATTCAAGAGAATGTAACTTCGTCAAAAATGATCGTATTGAGATGTTCAAAAAAGCATTTTACAGCTTGAAATCTCTACTTTCCAAATCGGTACTTGAGAAAACGATCCTACTGATGTTTCATGTAATTACACGGATAGAAAGGGAGACCCGACGAATCTCAAAATTTTTACGAACTTTGACAAGTTCCACGGCGCGAATAAAATTCGCATGCAAATGCAGTTTACAGCTTTCGAAAGAGTGAATCTTTACCTTTAATTTGCTTTT